AGCATTTGTCTTGATATTCTACGGTCACAGTGGTCTCCAGCACTAACTATTTCAAAAGGTAACTAAATGAGCATTGGAGGTAATCTTACTTTTGTTAAATTATTTATTTTGATTTATTAATGTGAAAAACTGTTGCCTGCCTATTCCTGATTACTCATGTGGTCAAAACCTCTAGCTCAATATCTAACTCCATGAGTGCTGCATGTAGGGGAGGGATAGCTCAGTGGTTTGAGCATTGGCCTGCTAAACCTAGGGTTGTGAGTTCAATCCTGGAGGGGGCCACTTAGGGAGCTGGGGCAAAATCAGTACTTGGTCCTGCTAGTAAAGGCAGGGGACTGGACTCGATGACCTTTCAAGGTCCCTTCCAGTGCTAGGAGATGGGATATCTCCATTAATTTTTTATTTATTTTTATACTTTTCATCTAGAATCTTAAACACTGTCCCTATGGTCTAGTTATATCAATGAGTCCTTGATTTATCTCAGTGGCATAAGCAGAGGTAACTCTTATCTCATTACCCAGTCTTGCTGGTCTGTACCTTTGTTCATATGCATTTGAACAATTAACTTACATTTAGGAGTTTAAGAACATGGGGTGGGAAAGTGCCTGTAGTAATGAATTTTCATACCACGCTCATGACTGTAGTAAAGCACTTTCCAGTAGTGTGCTTAGCAGTGTGACTATGCATCTGGCATGTGGTTTTTATTCTCATCTTTTCTCCATGGGAAGATGCATGTGCATTGGAGAGTCTTGTTTTAGTAGGTTTTGTACTTGGAAGGGAATAATTCATGTGTATAGGTGCTATTCTAGAATAATATAGCTATATCTAACAAAACAAGCTGTTAAAATCAGACTGTTTAAGTCAATTTACACGAGTAAAACATCTTAAAGCAGACTTCCTTTATTCAGAGGAAAATATACATAGGGACAAACTCTTATATCTTTTAGTGGAACTGAATGATAAAACCATGAAGGCATGGGTTTGCTAAGATCACATTGTTCCAAAACAAATTGTCTTGCAATATCCTCAACTACTGCCCTACATGCCCTGAAAAATCTCAACTTGGTATGTCCTGTTTTTATGACCATCTGTGCCATTGTGTGGGGTACATTTTACTTTCCCTCAAACTAGAGGATCATAATTTGTGAAGTATTGGACAAGCAATATATCCCATGTTAAAGGGCCATTCATGTCCAATTTGACATAATCTTTCTCTCCCATGCCACTACATGGATTTCCAGGTTCGTTCTTCCCTTCTCACTAGATGTTCACCTAATGCTGGTGGTTGTCCATGAAGGCAGCTCCTGTTACCTCCTTTCTTGTGTACTAAAGCTCCTAATGGGAGCAGTTAGGCTGGCTCACTTCCAGATACTCTATAATATACAGTGTGGCCTTCAAGAACCTGTATGTTTGCAGAAGCAGTTGGAAACAAAAGAGCTAGACCAGGGATCACTATTCGTTCATGAAGCTGAAAGTGAAATTGTCACTGCTATGAAGTGACGATCCAGCATCAATAGAGAAAATAAACTAGATCTTAAGTCCTTTGACTGTCAAATTAAGATACCAATTTCCTTACTTATGACCTTTGCCTACAGAAACTTTGATCACCATCTAGTTTTCTTTGTGTACTTTATCACACAGAGCTGTCTTTTTTTTCCCAAAGCAAATACATTTTTCTCTATACAGGAAGGGTTTTAAAAGGAACAATGAGCGAAGAGTATAAATAGCGCATATAAAATAGAAAAAGGGAAACTAGAGAAGCTGGAACCAAACAGTTAAAAGCAAAGTATAAGATAGGACAATTTGCAAATGGTTGGTTTATGTTTTATTTGGTATAAAATAAAAAGCAGGATGTGACAGCTCTGGTAAAACTCCCCAGGCTGCTGTTTGGGTGTCGTCATGCTCTAACCTATACACTTCTTAAGTTTCCCTGGGTTTCAGTGGGCTACAGCTATCATCTTTGGCTCCATATTCCCTTGCACACTTCCTCATACAGACTGTTAATCTTTCGTGGCAGTGAGTCCTCCAGGTCCAGCAGCTCTAGACACCAGGTCCTGTTCTGACCCCCAAGATACCACAGTAGCTCAAGCACACCCTTCAGAGATCCAACCTTTTGAGCACTGTAGTTTACAGTACCTCTCCAGGGGCACATAAGTGAAGCACATAATACATAGGCTTTGCAAAGGTTTCAAACACAATTACATTGATAAGTACAAGAAATATACATATCTAAACAACAGACTTGTGTATACATTTCCCTTCCTCAATTTCCTCACCACTCTGTGTTGTTTGGGACTTGTCAGTCTTCTATCACCCCTGCCCTCCTGTAGATGGCTTCTTCTCTGGAACATGGAATTTCTCGGGTTTCTTTTCCATCTCCTTCCAATATTGCCAGTGAGATCCTTTCTTTGATAACTTCCAGTCCCCTTTGTCAGAGTACTCCTGATCAGTCTCATGAGATGCAGTCCCCCACCAGATGATCCATTGTTAAGTTATGTTTTCCTGGAGTCCGGACTTAAAAAACTGGGGTTTGCTGAGTGGTAGCCATTTCTTTGTCCAGGGGGCCCTCCATGTGACTAGAGGTCATCAAGATTTAGTGACCCTCCCTTGTTAGCCCTGTCACTATCCCTTGGAAATTCAGCCTAGCATGGAAGTAAAAATACAACAAAGCATTCAGCCCCACATTCAAAATGGAGTTGTTTGATAAAGAGCTCATCCTCCCAAACTGGAATTTATAAATTTACACAGATTCCCCAAATGGTCATACAAGGACAATCCACCAAATGCCTACTGAAAAGGAGGCAGTGGAAATATTAGCTCTGCCATGTCAACTCTGAATGCCAGCTCTCAATGTAGAGGCAGAATGGGGAATCAACTAAGTTCGCTGGAAGAAGTTCAGGGATCTTAGAGAAACTTTGTTCTTAGTACACAATTAGTAGAGTTCATCAGGAAATAGAAGGTTTTCCATGGAAATTCCAACATTTTTGAAGTTTTTGTTCCGAATTGAAACACAGTCAACATTTACCAAAGAAAGGAAATCTGTTTGGAAAAACTGACTCTTTAAAATAAGTTTAAAACATAATACAAAAATATTTAATATCTTAACTATATAATTACGCAATTTGTTTGGCCTCTATTCTCTCAACGTTTATCAAAATTGACACTTCCAGAGTCTTAAGATTTTTGACAGAACTGTTCCATGAGATTTTGATCAGCTCTAACGATCGGCTAAAGCCATTAAGTTCGATTGAACCTTCTTTTAAAGAAGGTTCAAACTGAATAATCAGTGCTCTCTTTAAAGGACAACAGCTTAAAATCTATTTTTTTCTTAAAGGCAGTGAACTTAAAATGAATAAAAGGAAATGATTTTTATACAAAGCATAATTAATTTGTAGAACTAAATACTATAGCGTGTCACTGAGGTTAAGAGCTTAGCAGAAAATAGCACATAAAACTTTATTCACCGTGGCATAAGCCAACCACTAACTGCTGGAGGTGAGGGGAAAGGTTAGGAAGAATCTTTGTCTAGGTCAGGGTGAGGCTTAACTGCACTACAAGACTTCTTACATAACCTTCTGAGTCATCTGGCACTGAGAGGCTGCAGGGCTAGACATTACTGGTCTGGCATGTTCCCAAAGGTACTTTTGGGTATTACACCTTGGAGATGTCTTGCCAACTTGCAGGGCAGTGGCTTGTCTTGTCTTAATTTCTCTTTCCTGTTTGTATAGCTTTCTTTAATTTTTCATAAACTGAAATGGAGAAGCTTTCTGTAAGTTGTTTTGTAATGATATTTGGTCTAGTAACAATGGTAGCTGAAGACTCAGGCTGAGAGTTCTTTAAATTGCGTGTTACATCAGCAACAATATGTAGTCTTCAATTACAAATAGAACCTCAGTTATGAAAATCTTGGGAATGGAGGTTTGTAACTTTGAAATGTTTGTAATTCTGAACAAACATTATGGTTCTTTCAAAAGTTTATTGACTTAGTAAAGTTTCAAAGCTGTATTATGTAGAAGAAAAATGCTGGTTTTAACCATCTTAATTTTAGTGAAACAAGCATGGAAAGTTTCCTTATCTTGTCAAATATTTTTTTTTAAACTTTCCCTTTATTTTTTTTTTTAGTAGTTTACATTTAACACCATACTGTATTGCATTTGCTTTTTTTGTCTCTTCTGATGCCTGATTGCATACTTCTGGTTCCAGATGAGGTGTGTGTGGTTGACCTGTCAGTTCGTAGCTCTGGTGTTCATAACTCTGAGGTTCTACTGTATAAGTGAACCTCCTATGGTGATAGGAATTGCTAATAAGAGAATATAAGGGAAGGATGAATGAAGACCTCTTATTTTCGACAAATTTAATGCAACTTGTTCTTTAATCACTTCTGGGTTGTGGCTTTTGCTTGCATGAGCTGTGTGCAGTGACTTCACTTGCAAAATTACATATAGATTACATTCTTTTAATGTATGGGTTTTTTGTGAAGTTAAGGCAAATGTCACAGACGGTTGCCCATGCAATCTTAATTCAGTCCCCTTGTGCATATGTATTATGCTAGTCTTTAACTACCATGATCACATACTGTTCCACAGGACCCTTGCCTAATGCAGTGCACAGTATGGACTATAGCTATTCAATATTTCTCTTTAACCTCATTCAGTGTGGCTCTGCACATTACTTCACACCATTTAAAACCTGCACTGAATACTAAGCTCTGTGTCTTAGTATCTTAATGAATTATGTTCACACAACCCATGTGAAGTGAGACAACATCCTCATTTTACACATGGGAACTGAGGCACAAAGATTAAACCCAAAATTATTAATGCCCACTAGTTTTGGGTGCCCCATTTGAGAAACCTAGGATTTTCAGAATACTTAGCATTTTATGGTTTTACTAATAGTTGAAAGCCTGTGCTGTCAAACAGGTATAATTTGTAAATTTAAAATGTCTGAGAATTTAAAAATCGGATGGTAACAGACAGTGAATCCCAGTGATTGAACCTGGTGATATTCTAAACAAAGAGCTTTCAGCCATGCGTGTAGCTCAGTGGTTCTCAAAGT